GATCTTCCAGACCGTTGTGTTCGTTGACTTAGTTCGCGCCAACACAGTTCTGGTACCACCAGCCAAGCGCGGATTTTTCGTCAACAAATCTATATGGCTAATAAAAAAATTGTAAGACTTCTGATTTATCCGTGTCGGTTTTCTTTATTTCCCCTTTTTTCATACGGTTTTTTCTGCCGCTGTTTTTTTCGTTGCGGTTTTTTCACACGCGGTAAGGGCTTTTGGTTTTCTTTTCCTCACGTCCTTTTCCTTCGCCAAGCCGAACCCTAGCTCCACGTTGATCTTTCTCTCCATGCTTTTTCTCCTCTAATTGATTGCAAAAATCGATTCCCCCTCATCCTTCATCATTTTCCCCATGATTTCCCCATTCAATTTGGTTTTAATTGACCGAATTTAATATCAATTTAACCGTTGCCGATTATGGCCGGCCGGCTAGCTTCCTCGACCGTTTTTATCCCAAGTTTTTTTCGCTCCGATTTTGGAAAAAATGGAAAAAAGAAGATCGAGTGAATCAAAAGTCCTAAACAATTTTAGGAGATCGAGAAAGATTCGGCCGGATTTGATGGGGAGAATCAGCTCCAGCATCGTACGTGCACGGCACCATCTTCTAGAGGTAGAAGATGTGTGAGCTAGACCACGGCTCCATTGGGTCAAATAGAAGCAGGCCGAGTGGAGGGAGATAGCAGACTGGGCTGGACTGAAAAAAAAAGAAAGGATGGGTTTTCGACCTAAAACTAAGAAAAGAATATAACGTATACTGATTAAAAACATCTTAGCCGTTGCAACGCACGGGCACTGATTCAAAACATCATACCCATTACAACGCACGAACATTTTTTTCTAGTTATGTATAAAATATTCTTTCTTAGTGTTCAGGGTGAGCTCTTCGTTGGAAGGCCCAAGGCCCATCAGATGTGCGAGTGCGACGGTCCCAAACCCAACACCTCCATCCATCCAGGCAGCGCGGCCTCCCCCCCACCCGTCCAATCGTGCGCGGCCACCTCGGCCTCACCACGTCGCACTAGCCCCCCCCCCCCACCCCCCACCTCTCCGCCACTGCCAGGTGGGCCCCACCTTCCCCGGTCCCACCCGCACCGACAGTTCATTTGCATTGCATCGCCTCCCTCCCTCCTCCTCCGTCTCCATCCAACGCCGACGACTCGAGCCTCGACGGCGACGACCCCACACCGGCGGCGGAGATGAACGCGTTCCGGCTAGCCGGGGACATGACCCACCTCCTCAGCGTGGTGGTGCTCCTCCTGAAGATCCACACCATCAAGTCCTGCGCAGGTAACGCGCCACGCCGCGGACCCAAATCTTTGCTGCTGCTGCCGCGTGTATGATCCACTCTCCTCGCCTGTTCGGCAGCTATTCTGCTTTACTTTTCTTTCTTGTTTGCTTCGGATTTACTAGTAGCATATGCGCGCCGAGGTGTTTGCTCGTGCCTCGGATCTCGCGCGGTCTCGTTTTGGGGGGTTCGATCTGGTCAGGTCAGGTCAGCGCTGTCGATTCCCCCAATCTTGGCGTGGCCATTCCCGTCTGATGCGTGTTGTTTGGGCCAACTAATCCAGGAATTAAATTGTTAGAAGATTAGCTTGTGTCGATGGATGGACCTTGTGGATGATTTGCGGATTGTGGGAGAACAAAGAGGAGAGTCGGGATTCGTTTCCAATCCATACTACAGCTTTGGTTTGTTAAAAGTGTAGGAATGCACTGTCCATTATGCTGCATATTTAGATATAGTGCAGTTTGTGTGCTGCTGCCGCTTAGCAATGCGTTTTAATTTAACCAGGATCTGTTCGGATTCTGAGTTTCTAATCGTATTTAATTTCGATGCGTATGCCTGAATGGGCCTTCAATTATAAACCTACCCAGATAAAATGAAATAGCTTTTGCCTCATTTTTTGCAACCTTAAATCTGCTACTGGCAATATTTCATTTAGCTGCATGTGGCTCACAATATAGTTGGATTGGGCAAGCCGTGTTTGAATGCAACTCAGATGGTAAGATAATCAGTGTTGAGTGATTTGGTGAAGCCAAATGTGTCTATCTCTCTCATGGCACTCACCCACTGGTCACTGTTCATGGACAAAATTGTGAGGATGCTATCCGGAAGTGTTAATTTTTTTTAACGGTGTAAACCAAAACTCATTGTATCTTCAATAGCCTGATAGGTCATAAAAGGAAATCTTCAATCATGCCTATCTAAAACATCTGTTAAGGGCACATACCACTCAGACAGTAATAAAACTAGGCTTTTATGCCTTTCATGTATTTCATTGTACTCTACCTGTTATATTAGAGTAAATTGCATCCACGGTGCATCAACTTGGTAGGTGGGTGCAATTTGGTACAAGAACTTGAGAAATGAGCGTTCTAATACAACAACTTGGTAGATAGGTGCAATTTAGTATAAGAAATTTATAAATGATTGTATAAATGCAAAAACTTGCAAGGTAGGTACGATTTTGATACAGTAAACTAAGAAGTTACGCGACAATTTAATTATTTGGAGCATTTTTATATAGATTCATTTTTTAAGTAATTATTTTGATAATATACTAGCGTGGATTTGTATAAGCATATTTATATTTTTATCCTAATAACCCATAACTGAAAGTCAATTAAACTGGATGTAAAAATTATTATATTTCGGTTAATATTTGAGAAGACGAAGAAAACAAAAAAAAAACTTAAAGATAATTGGATGTAAACTATATGTGCAATATAATTCTTAAAGATTAAATTCAATATTTAAGGTAATATTCGTAGGATTACTATGTAATGGCATATTGACATCGTGAAAAAACTCATCTAGCATATGCTTAGTCAAGTTGATGCACCAAAATATCGAATTATCAAGTTCTTGTACTAGAACGCACCCACTTGGCAAGTTATTGCACTCGAACGTTCAATTCTTAAGTTCTTGCACTATATCACACCCATCTACCAAGTTGTTGTACTGTGGGTGCAATTTACTCGTTATATTATGTTGTGTTGATCCTACTGTCATAAGCTTCTATTGCCATTTGGTTTGATGATGCATTGTACTTGACGATCTTTTTGCAGGCATATCTCTAAAGACCCAGGAGCTATATGCACTTGTGTTTGCTGCTCGTTACTTGGACCTGTTCATTCATTTTATATCTCTGTATAACACTGTCATGAAGTTGGTCTTTCTGGCAAGTTCTTTCTCAATAGTTTGGTACATGAGGCGGCATAAGATTGTCCGAAGAACCTATGACAAGGATCATGACACCTTTCGTCATCACTTCTTAGTGTTGCCATGTTTGGCTCTGGCCCTCCTTATTAATGAGAGGTTTACTTTTAGAGAGGTCAGTTTGATTTCTTCTGCATTACCGCATAGTGGTGTTTACAACTGTGATGCTGTTGATATGTAAAGCAATTCAATGGACCATTTACCTTTGTAGGCTCCCATCGGATGGCCTAAATAGCCAAAGAAAAAGCCAAATTTTAAATTTTCAAACTTGATTTTGAGATATTTTCAACGTAGTTTCTTTTTCAGCATTAGCTTTTAAGTCACCAAGAATACATATATAAAAGTTTTACCAACAAATTCATTTTTATTCCTTAATAAGCCGTTTTGGCTTATTAGGGGAAAAGCCAAACAATGGGGCCGGTAGATTATGTACTACCATTTTTGAATTTTGGACATCAAATCCATCATTTATGGATGTGATGGAAGTCTGTTTGCCTCTTTTATTGTTGAAACTTAGTACATTATAGACTCTGCAATTTTGACCATTCACACCATTATTTGGGGCAGGTTATGTGGGCATTCTCCATATATTTAGAAGCTGTAGCAATTCTACCTCAACTTGTGTTGCTACAGCGCACGAGGAATATTGACAACCTGACTGGCCAATATGTCTTCTTTCTAGGGTAAGATCTACTACGCCATTTAGTCTGAAATGTGCAATTCTACTTGTGTGAGAGGCATTGGTTGGGCAGTCTTATAGGATAAAGCTGCTTAATATTTAAGCAACATCAACCTATCCTTTTTATTATTTCAGTTGATGATAAATCCTTTGGTTGACTATGAATTTTATAAATTCCATCTGCTATTCTGATGTTATGTTGGATCTTCATTTTGTTCAGTTTCTTGTATTTTGCCATTTCTAGTTTCTGATATAATGCTATCTCAACACATTTTGGTGATGATGCAGTGCATACCGTGTGCTGTATATCCTTAACTGGATCTACCGATACTTCACTGAGCCCCATTTCGTTCATTGGATAAGTATGGACTCCATCATCTTACCTTTCCATTTCTCATGGTTATGGTGGATGATCTTTTAACTGTTATATATACTTTTGTTGCAGGCTGGGTTGCGGGCATCGTGCAGACTCTCTTGTATGCTGACTTCTTCTACTATTACATAATGAGGTATTTGACTTGGTTTTACCTTATCATTTCATTCTGCTACTATTGTTCCTTTCCATTGACTACTCCAAACAATTTGCAGCTGGAAGAACAATGTGAAGCTGGAGCTACCAGCCTGAGCTCATTTTTCATCCAAGATAGGCTAGGTAAAACTTGTTAAATAGATAGAAAGGCATGATACACCAAGGCCACTGCTCCTGGTTATGATATATGCATCTTGGTTTCCTGCTCTATCCTCTTGTTTATTTCTTTTCCTATTTGTCGGATGAGAGGAAATCCAAGGGTCACCTTGTATCTTGTAAGACAATTAAGCACAGAGAGATGAGTACCAGGACGTTCTGAGTTATGATAGGTTTTGAGACACAATGGAAATGCTATCTTTTAGTGTACAACGTGGTATGATCCTTCAGCTTGGAAGAATAAAGTATTCTGTGTTCTGTCTTCATTTTCATAGAAACTGGAGGCTATGCGCAGGGTGTTAATTGCTAGTTCCAAAACTCTTTGTATTATTACCTGGAAATCCACAAGCCGATGAGTTGGTTCTCAGCAGAAACCGTGTTTTACAAACGAAGAAATGTCACAGCACACATGGACATGATGACGAAGTCACATCAACAAAGCACTGCATCATAGAGAGAACAGACGAACTCTCAGTATCAAAATCTTTCCCAGAGTTTTACAAGGGCAAAAACACCACATTCATGCTATGAATAGATGCAGCAACATGCAACTATACTGCTTGCAAAGTGATGATCTTTCCAATCAGCAGGCCACTTGGCGCTGATCGGTCTCAATCTTCACTATACTTAAAAATTCAGAATTGGACCATAGCCAGTCATATTTGTAGCAGAAAACATCTTTCAGTCGTCCGAAAGGCTGCGATGAGTTCATCAGGTATCCTTCGGACAAAGGTATTGCTGCATCTAATCTGATCATCAGATGAATATGCTGCTGAACGCTTCCTCTAGTGCTCTTCTCTTGCCCATTTCGATAGTCCATCCACCTGCTCGAGCTCCTCGCTCTGCTCGTAATCTCATGGTCTCCTCATCGTCTCCCTGAAGTGGATCCGATGAACCGCCGATTGGTTGGGGGGCCATACCTGTCGGCCGGGGCTGAGACATCCCAACAGCAGCAGGCGCATACTGGCCCTGAACTCCTGCGCTGCTGCTAATGCCCTGGGAGCTTCCAGCAGCCTGTTACGAGTTGCAAAAGTGACAAATATTCATATTTATACTTCACAAAGAAAAGTGATAAATTATTTAAAAGAACAGATAAAATTCATTGCAAACAGAGAAACAGAGGGGCATAAGAGTGAGAAGCTTCCGGTAAATTTTCTATGCCTTACAGAAGTAGAATAAGCCAGGATAATTAGAAACTAAAAAGTAAGGCTGCAAAACAAACATGATCATATTATATCTTCCTAAACCGTGGACATTGTGCAGAAGCGGTATATGGTCAGATAACAAAGCAGTGAATACATAAAGCTGTAAGGTCTCCACGAGAATTTATTTTTTTAAAGAGATGGGAACACGCGGTCTACTGATATATTGCAAGCAAAAATTGACCTAGGTAAAGATTGTGCTTCCATCACCAAAGTCTAAGCCATCAATTCTACTGTGGCCAAGTTTCAGCTAGACCAAAGCTTGCTGATAGTATTTATTGATAAAAAAACCACTCAGAAAATTTTGATGAAAATCAAGGTAAAAAATCTAATAGCACGACATTTGCAATACTAGTATTTTCTTGAAGGCTGGAACATGCGATTTAGTATTTTATTGGTAGCACTTGCTGAAGAAATTTATTAGAGGCTTGAACAGTAGAAGCTATTAGGTTATGCATTCGCTTTGGCTTATAAGTTGATTAGCTGACAGATTATTATATGGATGAATTAGATATTATACATTATAAAGCTAAAACATACCTTAGAGAGTTATCTAAGCAATGCAAACATTTTTTGAGAAATCATAGTTTCAAAAGCGTGGCATGAATAATCCATGTCCGCATAAGCTGAAAAGAACAGGGCCATCGCAGAATGTTCGCAATCACGCAAAGCTGATGGAATTGCAAATGCATATGGACATATCCAACCAAAACTCAAAGCTTAATTGCTGTTTTACCAAAATAAAAGAAAAACTTAGTGTACCCATACTATTACCATCCAGTTTGCGAATATAAACTGACCGTGTCACTGGCAGCAGCCTTTCCAGGGTTCATTCTGCTTGCTTTAAGTGCGGCGGCAAGATCTTCAGCCTACAAAAGGATACAAATTGGAACGAAAATGTCACTCAATCAAGCATTCAAATCTGACTGCAAAAATTCATGGAACAACCTATGAAGTATTTTTTTTTCTACTCGCACCAAAGCCTGAAGCAATTTACCACATACCCTTTTAGCCCGGGACAAGTATATCTGTTCAGCATTTTCCTGCTGGTACCTGGCAATCTTAGCTTCAATCTCCTCGACATCTATCCCCTCAATCAGGTTGAAAGCTATATATACATAAAAACAAACGAATCTTACACAAATAAGCCTTGGTCAAAACTCAGAAACATTTAGCCCGTTACTGCTCAAGAACGACCAACCAAAGTGGTGATGTAACAACTCACTCATATCCTCAACCTCTTCTAGATAATCGTTGTAGTCTTTCAGACACGAGAAATGGTCCTGCGTCTTGTTGAATCTGGAATTCGTATCAACACACAAAGCATATCAAAGCTTAGCATCTTTGGCAGCCAAAAAAAAAATGAGATCATTTTCAAAAAAAAAAAAAGGAAAGAAGATGAGTTGAGAGAGTAGGGGAGCCCCACATGCTGGCCATCCTGCGGCGGATGGTCATCTCCTTCGCCCACGCGTTCCCCCCGCCGCCGCCGCCGCTAGACACCACCACCATCTCGCCGCCGCCGCCGCAAGATTTACTCGGCCATCGTGGACGGCGGCTGCTGGTCGGAGCTTTTGGAGTGAGGCCGAGCAGCGGCCGGAGTGACAAGGTCGGCGGCGGCGGCGGCGGCGGCGGAGGGTCGACGAAGGCCTTCGTCGACACGGAGGGGAGAAAGGAAACCTCAGGTTTGGTCGGGGTGGGGGACGGCGGCGAGATTGGGGAAGACGAGAGCGGCTCGAGCTAAGTATTCTGTATAAAAAAAATGTAGTAATGATATATGTCATGCAAATAGAGACATTTATCAAGAGAAACCATATTGGCATGGACGGATATACCCATTAGGCAGGGTGGGTCGACTGACTCAGCTACGACTCGTGTCGCCCCACACCCTTTAGATCTCCTTACCTCCTTATAGTAGTCATGTGCCATTAAAATTAGGTATAACAAGGTATGAACACACAATAGATTGAGGCAATTATGCGAATGAACTATTAATACGATATGCGTTGTTTTCGATTGCTCTTATCGAGTGAACACCTTCGTTCTCAGCTCCATCTATATTTTAAAGCTACGTCCGCCACTAACATTGGTTTTGAGATATTTAACTGATTTTCATATAAATTTGACCATATTTATTTACATTATTTTTAAACCATGTTATTTTAAATAATATTTTGTAGTATCGTAGAATCGGAATACCACCTAAGATTTCGTAGGATCGTGTAGTAATGAATTAGTAGGATCGAGATACTACAAAAATTAGGATACTAGGTGGGATCAGTATCGTTTCGGCTTGGTAGGATCGTAGTATCGTAATATCTACGAATCAGGATACTGACAACCTTGATGCAGTTACTTTTTTCACAATAACCACGTGGTTATCGCAGTAACCGTCAAACCATGGGGTGGCGGTAACCCCACTGAAAAGGTTTGGTAAACCCTAGTGACAGCCAAGGTTGTCCGGAGATTTTCGGAGCCGAGGTCGATGTGTAGTTTATATATTTCTTTTTCCCGAGCACAAAAACATAGCTCGATTTATAGCTTTCTTTTCAGAGTATAAGAAGCGATCAGAACCAAAAATAAAGAGGAAAAACCTATTTTATGTCATGAAATATTTACTAATGTGTAAAGGGGAATGCCAGACAATAGAATCCCATCCCTTATCCCGTGCACGAGATGTCTCCCACATCACCAAGTCTCATGTTGGCTCGCCGCGTGCCTGATGAGTGCTGCCAGGCGGCTTGGTGATCAATTTCGTGCATGCGGATGCAGCTGAGTAGGTGACGAGCACGAGATAAATTTACACCCTATAAATTAGGCCTAATTACATGCGTGCATCCCGCGAGCTCAACTCGTCAAAGTTCTTGATTCTACTAGCTATCTGAGAATGATAGCCCCATATTTTCAATGGCAGCAATTGTATATGTTTATACATGTTTGTGGGTGTAGCCATGCAGGTGGGCTAGTGTTGCGAGCGCTATAGAGTGTGTTGCTCTGCCATAGCATGGTCATCAACTCCATCACATTCACTTACGCTAACCGCAACGATGCTCTCTGGCTCTCTGCTCTATCGAGCCCTATGGTAGCAACGGTGCCAAGTTACCGGAGGTGGCAATGTAGAAACTTAAAGGCGGGGAGCACTCACCGAGTGGCATGGTAGCCACTCTATTTCTAATATTAGCTTAATCAAATATACTGTACAAAACTTCATTTTTTTTAATGTTTAGTATGAGGGATCTATTACTTCCAATCCCCATCTTTCCTATTTCTTTTATCTCTATTGGATTCTAATTCAATGTCATAGTACATATCACATATAATTTTTTAGCTATTGTAAAATCTCCACGTTTAATCTTCAATTTAACAACATATTAAACCTCTATTGTATATATCTTTAATTTAATTGCATATAGATGTCACATGTAATATTTTTTCTAACAAAATAGCTCTCGTAAAACACCATTTTCGCTAAATTTTTAATTATAGATTGTGAGATGTCATATATAACAATTTTTAATGATAAAATAGCTCTCGCAGTAGCAACGACAACACCGTCGTTGTCTGGTTAAAACTCCGATCACGACACGCGACAAATCTCTTGTGAAATCTAGGCACCCCTAATCTTCAAATCCTAGCTTTGCCCTATGGTCTCATAACGACTGATACCGGCTAATACCTGATATGTATTAGTTGGTATCTAATGGGTATCGTTGGGTACCTATGAGGTACTGGATCCTATACCCATCGTTATCATCCCATCGGGACATGATCTTTATCTCTAGCCCTCATGTGTAAAAGTCATCCCTAAATTTTAAAACTAAAGTTTATTCATTCTTTAACTTTGTAAAGAGTTTATGTTGACCCCTCAACCAAAACCAGGCTGCTTTGAAGCCTATCGGGCTTTTGAACTTTGGTGAAAGTTTGAGGATGTAAAATATAATTTTTCATAATAAAAAATCAAATTAGATAGGAATCCAAACCAAGTTGGGAGAAATAAAATGGTAATTTTGTGCCACGCCTAATTGAAGAGCTAAGAGAGAGCTGTGTGGATTTGGATAACTCAACTTGCAAGAGGTCATGGAAGCACATTGGGTAATTTCGAGTTAATTTTGTTATCCAATTTCAAGATGAATGGAAGAGACAATGTGATACAATATTCGCAAATAATGAGCCAAAACAATGTAGCTATTATGCAAAATAGTGTATATATGCTATAGTAAGTTGTGTGGTCTTGTTGTATGGCATTGCTCACTGGTAACTTGTGCCTCTAACAATGATAGCTGATGCAGATCCCAGCTTGACTTGTGGACTTAGGGCCATCAATAAGGGCATGCCAGTGAGCAACCGAACAACGCCCCAAAATTAGGGGCCCTAAATATTTTATATTTTAATCAATGCAATACGTTTCGATGTATTTAAAGGCCTCTCGTTCCATTTTTTACAAATCACACTGTTACTTATTTGTTGATTTGGCTAGAACGGACTTGTTTTCTTCTGCTCCGATAGGTGTTTGATGGCAATCCTGGCCAACTGTTGATTTGGCTAGAACGGACTTGTTTTCTTCTGCTCCGATAGGTGTTTGATGGCAATCCTGGCCAACTCAGAGAGCTATATATAACTCATGATGATGATATGAACGTGCATTCTACGCATAAGATTTCATTTTTCTACTTAATAAAAATAAATCACTACATCATGACATAATATTTTTCTACATTCATTTTAAAAATCTTCTTTCAACTTAGATAGAGCTCCACTACTAATTTATTTTTTTTTCGCATTTTTATGGGCCTTAAATTTTTTTTCGCACCAGGGCTTAAAATTCCTAGGTATAGCCTGAGTGGACTTACTTACAGACTAAAAGATGACCCCAAACAAAACATTACATGCATGAACTGATAGTTTAATACAAATAAGTTTTATGTTTTGTGGAGTGATTCTCATATGCTCTTGTGCTACCTCATAGGTAGATGATGAAGGTAACATTGTTCAATAGAACTCAAAATATTAAATGTATGACCATTCACACGCAAGGAGCCGGGTTATGGATGAAACATGTCATGGTCAGCTCCCCATGAGCTTCGATGGTCTCAGTAGCCTATTTGGGAAGAAAATAAGGTCAATCTAGTTTCTTATGATAACTTGTATCCTCAGCATCATGTAGCCTATATGCGCATTGTTGAGGTTAGTTTACTTTTGCTTTATACATAATAACTTCTTTTTTCTAATGATGTATATTGTATCATGTTGTTGACTTTCTATGTGCATATACTTATGTAGCTAATTGTTACTTGGTTCAAGAGAATGTAATGAGGGATTAAATATCATATATGTATTATGGACGAGGAGATGCATGTCATTCTAGGGCTGATTATTGGAGTTGATGATATGCCAATACGAAGTTTTCTTTCATATAGAGTATATGCTACTGGAAAGTAATAACATTTTGAATACATCAATTTGAACTAGAGTATGCTTGTCTTCTTCATTTCCTTCTTGCCCCCTTCGCTTGATTCCTCATCTTGCTATTTAACAACCACGCCTTCCCTCTCCCTCTTTGACATTGTCATTCCACTAGTCCTTCTCTAGCTCAATCACTATAACCAACTCCTAGGTAGTTATTAAGACCAAATCGTATTGACGGTCAAACCGTATGCAGTCGACTCGACTATGAACCGGTAAAACCACCCAGTTTTGAGGAAAAACCATTACTAAACCAGGAAGTAAACCATCGTTGGACCGGCCTCACATGGGATGCGAGGACATGCATGTGCAAGGGGAGCAGGTGGGGTAAAATGAGAGAAAAATCTCATTGTGGAGATAAATAAATGATGAGGTGTTGGGGGGTGGGGTGGGGGTGGGGAAGGCGCCGGGGGGGGGGGGGGGCTATGGAAGGGATTACTAGAAGAATGCTAGCATGGAGGATAGAAACTTTGCCTAGGATTTTGGTTGGTCATCCAAGAGGTCAACTAGGGGTGAAGCCAGGATTCTAGGACGGAGGACAAGCGGACAATACACAATAAGACATGGTGCTAGAAAGAAAATCTCCCATTTTATTTCAAAGACGTGTCTTTACAGTTTTTTTAGTTTTTCTCCAAGTGCTAACGGACAAATGCTTCTGATGAGCTTACTTATACGGAAAACGATGATGCCACCTCACAGTGAGGCTGTCTAACTGCGAGAAGGTGAAAGAAGTAGGACGAAACTTCTCGGCTATGGAGAGTAGCTCTCATTTTAGCCAACCTTGTTGAAGAAAGATGATAGGGACGGCATCTCTCTAAACTGAGTAAACTTTAAATTGACATTCTTTATTTATTTAAATTAATTTAGATAAAGTTAAACCACAAACCGTTTAAAAATTTCTCAAACTTCCATAGCAATGCCAAAGAAAACAAACCCACAGGGCCACACCAATCCAATATTTCCATTCGAAATACGAGGAGACAACAAATTAGAAGAGGCAAGCCCAGAAGAAGGGGGTGAATCCGGCTCCCCTCCTTCCTCCCATCCAAAGCCCACATCTCCTGCAGATCCAACCGCATCTCCGCTCCCCCCTCGCCGCCGCCGACCACCGCAGCGCTCCCTCGCCGCCGCCGGAGGCCCACGCCGCGCAGTCGCGTCCGAGAAGCTCGGAGCTTTTTCAGGCAAGAGGCAGGGGCCCCCCCTCCAAACCCTAACCGTAGCTCCTCCTCCTCCAACTCGTCTCCTCCGCCGGTGGCGGTGGCGGTGGCGGAGATGGAGATGGAGATGG